GTTTATGGAGAAGTTCCAACAGAAGAAGAAGAAGCAGCCCCTGTTGTTATTCCTGGTCAACCAGAAGCTCCAACAGCTAAAGGTATACGAAGTATTCAAGCAATCTACAAAAAAACACATTCCCTACAAGTTAGCTCTTCATCTTCATCATTAGATCCATGTGTCAATCTGTTATTTAATGTGTTCATTCTGATATTTTCTTAGCTGTTATGCGTCTGGCATTGCTTTTTTTGTTCTTTATATTCTTTAAAAAATGTATTATCTTTTAAGTACCTGCAGTGACAAAGAAAAGTGTCGCACTGAAGAAAATACCTGCTGCTGTACCTACAGAAGAAGCTCCTCCAGCTAAAGGTACATGAGCCCTAAATGGAGTTTTTCTAGCCTCTTTCAAAAGTGAGGTACAAACTGAGAAATCCAATGTTTGGTTTTTTTAACATGAGCAGGTGCTATATATACTGTTTTATTCCATTTGATCTCTTGTAAGAGTAAATTTTGTCTCTTTCCTTGATTGTTTTTGTCTTAGAAAGAGAGTATACATACAGATAAATCAGGGATTAAAACTGATCATTTATGTTCATCTAATGAACAATTATTAAGACAGAAAAATTCAGCATTCAGGAAAACAAATGCAAGGAACATTTTCCACAAGTTCTTATTTTTGTCTTGTGTTAGCGACTGCTCAAACAGTTTGATACATTCTGCACCAAGAATTTAAAAACAAAAAAGAAGGAGAAAGACAAATATAAAGAAAATACAAAAAAAATCTAGTAGACAGGAAATTCATCGCAGGGCTTTATATTTTTTTTACTTCTTGTCTCATGTTCTATTTCCCAAAATACTTTCTCTGACAATATATTTTTAAAAAGCCCTAAAAGGTTATGGCAGAAGCTTGTTTGCAGAAGCACTCTGCAGTCACGTCAGGGGTTTTAATAAATTCAGGATTAAGGTAAGACTTTAAATAGGACAAAATACAAAGCCACATTTTTTTAATATAGAAACATAGGTTTTTTTAATAAAATTCTAAATGTTTCAAACATCTATGGAATTCTTCAAACTCCATCGATATTTGAAACGTACTATTTAGTTAATGGTAATGCAGTTTTGTCTTGCTTTTATAGGTAAATAATTTTTTTTTTTAAAAAAGAAAATCCTTTAAATTGCCGTAGTTCTTAAAGAAAGGAAAAAACCCCAAACCTAACTGCCGTCTTTTGAGCAAAGATTTTCCCATAGGTATTAGGAAATAGAAAAGTAGTGAACTCCAAAAAGTGAAGTTCTTGAGCTGTATTCACAGGTTAATACCATGTATTTTCATATCATTCCAGTACAACTTTTTACTATTTTACAAGACTATACTACTTATTTCCTTGCTCAAATTTCTAAAATAAACCAATATTTTTAAGTTCCTGTAGTACAAAAGAAAGCTGTCCGCAAAGAAAAAATACCTCCTGCTCTACCTAAAGAAGAAGCTTCACACATTGAAGGTACAATAAATTTTGAGTAAGATTTGAAGTATAAAAAAATATGTTTTCATATATAAACCTCTCATTATTTTGAAAACATTCTGCCTACCATAAAGTTTAGTTAGCAGCTTTTGTTAGCTGCAACAGTATAAAATTAATTCATTTAAAAAAATCGTCTGTAGGTTTTTTCAAGATGAAAATTAGCTTTTTGTACAAGAGATAAGTGCAATGGACTCTGGCATTTGGGATCAGTCTGAGGGGGAAAAAGAAATACAGAAAATGTAACAGAGCTTAGATAGACAGGGCCTGTCTCTGCACTCAAGGAAGCAGCCAAGTTTAGGACATAGAATCATAGGATGGTTTGAGTTGGAAGGGACCTTCAAATGTCATATAGTCCAAACCCCCTGCAATGAGCAGGGACATCATCAAGTAGATCAGGTTGCTCAGAACCACATCCAGCCTGACTTACCACATATCACACATCTTTCTCCTGGCAAGCTGCAGAGGTTAGATCAGGGTAGAATCAGAGATTTTTTTCTTCCTTCATTTGAAAGCATGCCAGTTTAGAAGGTAAATATAACACAGACCCATGTATCTTTAGATTAGCTTGAATATTTGATTGCGTTTGTTCTTTATCTTTCACACTGTTGTTTTTGGAAGATATTCCCAGTTAATTTAAATATTTAAACTAATATCTTTCAAGTACATGAAGTTTACGAGGAGATGCACATAGAAGAGGAAATTTCTACTGTTCATAGAAAAGAGAAGGCTCCAGCACCTAGAGGTATATGTCTTCTTCATAATCTCTTCTTCATCATCTCTTCTTGCAATTTGCAAAGTCGTGAACTCCAGGAAAATTATTCTTGCTCATTATTTAGTTCTTATTCAGTGTAATTAATTTCTATGTTCATTTTTTTAATATGTTTAGTACCTATAGTACCAACATTTACTTACAAACCTGGGATTTCTTAAGACTTGTCTTTCTATTCTATATAAATTCTTAAAATGAACTAATATATTTAAAGTGCCCACAGTCATTAAGAAAACTGTTCCCGAAGAAAAAGTGCCTATTGCTGGGCCTAAAAAAGCAGAACCTATTCCTGTGCCTAAAAGACCAGAACCTCCACCATCTAAAGGTACTTTGATAGCCAAATAGAACTGAGGTCTTTTGATATTAAACATCTTTTCTGTTCTTACATCATTTCTGTTTTAATAGTTCATCTATGTCAGATTTGTGGCATTTATGTTGTATATGTCCCTTTTCCTGTTTCTTAACTTGTCTTTAAGTTATAACATGGAAATTAAAGTCAATAAATATCTTTTAAAGTGAATAAAGTGAATTTCCCAATAAAACTATTTCTGAGAAAAAAAGCCAGAAGCTCCACCTGCCAAATGTGTGGGTGAACATATCTTTTCCTTCTCCTTTCTTCTGTCCTTCGTTTTGTCATTGTCAAGTCATTAAAAATTAGTTGAATTTGTTTATTTCTTCTACCCAAGAGTGATCTGTTGTGATCCACAGAAATTGTAACAGAAACTAGTCAAAGGGACTAAAAATAAAGAAAACTACTTAAGTCAACATGCAGTGAGATTTACAGAACAAATGATTTCACTACATGGGTGTTTATAGGTACTGTAAACAGCTTCAGAAATTATATCAATACTCAAGCAAGAAGTATATATGCTTTCTCTTTCACTTTGCTTATGTTAAACTTAGAGGTCAATTGATTTAATTTTGAATTGAAATAGCATTAGGCACAGGAACCAGTTGTTACACATATTTCAGAAATCTGCCTGAACTAGCAGTTTGCATGGCATGTCGCCACTGCATGATGAAAGATCCCCAGCAATTTGCTTCAAACTGCTGTTTTCCAGAGGGATAGAACCATAGAGACTTTTGAGAACATGTGACTGTTGTCAGAGTATCCTTATTCATCTTACTTGTTTTGTCTTATTTCTTTGTATTGTATGTTGTTTTGTTGCATTTTTTTTTTTAATTCTTAAAAGTACACTAACATCTTTAAAGTGTGCAAGGTACCTAGGAAATCTGTCTCAGAAGAAAAAGTAAATGGTGCTGTGCCTAAAAAGCCAGGAGTAACGCCACCTAAAGCTTATATGTCAATAATGCTGACTCTCTGAGGAGGAGACTTCTCTTTCTCTTCGGCAGTAGGTTTACAGCAGATGAAAAATATTACCTTTTATTTCTTGTTTATAAAATATCCTGGTAGTATGCAATACTATACAAATTTTTTTGCATGACATCTCTTTTTGTATCTGGTGTTACATTTCTTTCTGATATGCTTCTTGTGAGACTCTTCTAATAATGTATTTTTAAATGCCTTAAGTATAACAAATATGGATGCTGTTTTCTTTAAAGTGCCAGAGGTGCCAGAGAAAATTCCAGAAGAGAAAGTGCCTGTTGCTGTGCCTAGAAAACTGGAACCACCAGCAGCCAAAGGTATGTTGCACAACAGATAACTAAAATTTGGAAGAGAAAAAAATTTCTGCCTTGATTGTGCAGATTAGTTTTTTGATTATCTGTCTTGTCCTATTACTTTTACTTTCCATGCCTACAGTTCTATATATGCTACAGTTTTGGAAATGCTTCTTTTTGAATCATTGCTGTAATCAGTGTACCAGTGTGTTTGTTAGAAATATTGATGTGACTGGGCAGAGATGGGACTGATACTTGAGAACTCAGCAGAAATCTTAAAGAGAAGAAAGGACTTCTGTGATGTGAATTACTCCCAACTGACAGTGAAAAATTAGCCCCAAACAGAGTTTAATAATTTCAAAGTATGGAATAAGTGACAGAGATGTTGAACACAGGAGAAAACCCTCTGTGCATAGATGAAAAATTGATACCAAGAAGTAATCATGCATAGAACAATTTGGCAAGGAATACAGAATGGTCAATGGCAGCCTTAGTCAAATGGAGATTTGGGAAGTGGTTGAATAAAATGAAAAAATAATGTAATGTAGAAGAAGAAATTCCAAAAGTCTCAGAGTTGTTTCTTCAGACTTTTCAGAGACATTAAAAAAAACCCAAAGAACATGTAAAATCAATGGCTCCATTAAAAACCTCCTTACTTTGCAATTTCTAGTGAAAAGTTTTGAACATAGCTGTAAAATTCCAACTGAAAATAATCTCTTTCTTTAAAGTGCCTGATGCACCTAAGGAAGTAGTTACAGAAGAGAAAATCAAAGCTGCTGTGCCTAAAAAAGCGGAAGAACCACCAGCTAAAGGTACTTGTAATTACTAAAACCATGGCAACAATTTGTATTACTTTCAGTGATAAGACATTTTGATACTATTTGCCCATCTTTCTATCTTTTAAACTGCCATTTTTAAAATTATTTTTTGGAAGCAGCCTCTTTACTCCCCTCAAATGACTCTCAGTCAAGATTGGGAGCCTTATTTGGTAAAGATTCTTATGTTTAATTCATGTTACTTGGTGTCCTTTTTGTTTGCTTCTTTTTCCACTTTAAGGTTATTTAAATTTCCTTATATTCTTAGTATTAACATCATTGTTAATTTTCAAGTGCCAGAAGTGCCCAAGAAAGTCACAGATGAGAAAATACCAGTGGTGGAGCCTAAGAAACCAGCAGTTCGACCAGCTAAAGGTACTTGACATTGTGGCAAAATTAACAGAATCAAAAATTTCACTCTTCTACTGTTTTAACACTATAGAAGATAGTACCCAAGACCTCTGTTAGAGGTCTTCAATTATCAAAGGTTTTTCGAGTCAAGAAATGTGTGAAAAAAACACAGCTTGTTGTTTGGTGTTCTCGCTAATATTGTTCTGCTGTTATGCTTTCATGTTGCTTATGAAATTCTTATAGTAAAATTCTTAATATTTTTCAAGTGCCTGAGGTACCACAGAAAGTGATCCCAGAAGAGGTTTCAGTTAAAGTACCAAAGAAACCAGAACCTCCACCAACTAAAGGTAATTGCCGTATGTAATTAATGAAAGAAAATCCATTTTAATATAATGGTAGTTTACTTTTACTATAACTGTTCTATAGAATATTTTTGTTGTTTAAATTGTAGTTTTTGCATATGTACCTCAGTGAGACATCAAAAACTATTTTCTGTAGGCAAACAAAAAAGTTAATATACACATCCAAAACCATTCATGCTTTTGCTGTCCCTGAGATTTACTTTTCCTTAGTGTCTTAAAGCTGCAGACATATGCTTGAATTTCATAAAATTAATTAATTTCTTTAAAGTGCCTGAGGTGCCCAAGAAAGTTGTTTCTGAAGAAAAAGTACACATTGAAGTTCCTAAAAAACCAGAACTTCCACCAACTAAAGGTAATTTTCAATACTGATAAAATTGCACAGAAATGTTAATGTTTCTCTAAATATTCTTTTTAAATTTGTGTTATCTCTTTTTTATATTCTAATATTTATAAATGCTATGGATTGTGTTGTTGTCTTCACTTTCGAATAGCTCCCAGTAAGCAAAAATGGCTATAAATGGTGTGCATCAAGCAATTTGAAAAAAACGCAGACTATTTATTAGGAGTATTTTTTTTTCTGATTCTGTTTAATGATTTTCCTCTTGGAGCTATTGTTGCCTTTTTAATTCCTATTCTTCAAATTCCTGAAAATAAACCAAACAAATATCTTTAAAGAACCTGAGGTGCTGAAGAAAGTTGTTCCAGAAAAGAAAATACCTGTGCCTAAAGAACCAGAACCTGTGGTTGTCCCAGAACCAGAGGCTGCACCTGAAGAACCAGAACCTGAAACAGGTAAATCTCAACACTCATAAAATAACAAAAGCAAATCCTCTTTTCTTTAAACTTTGATCTTCCAGGCCTTCACTTTTCTGAGATTCTAAATTATACCTGTTCTATGTATCTGCATGTGTGTATGAAATAGACATACATGCGTCTTTTTGAAGAATAGTGACAAATCTTAGATGCCTAAATTGCCTGTATCTTAAACTTTAATTCATCTTACTATTTTAGATTATTCTTACTGTTCTATTACTTGGGTTCATGAAAACAACCACAACCAATATGTTTAAAGTGATGATAGTAGAAGAAAAGAAGGTACCCATTCTAGTAGCCAAGAGCAGAAGATATCAACATAATTTAAATACCAGAAGCTTTACCAAGAAAATGTGTATGTCATCACTGCTAATTCTTGAAAGAGTCTTATTATAAGAGTCTGCTTATCGCCTGCGATGTTATTAATATCTTTTGTCCTGTCCATTCTTGTTTATAATTATCATAGCTTAAATTATACTGTCAGTATACATATACAGGGGCATGAGGCTTGGTGTGTGTGTGTATTTTTGAGAGAAAAGGAAGAGCCAAAATGTGGTATATACATCATTACAAAGGCCAACATAAATGGTTGATACCTGATATGTTTTTAATGTTTTCATTACAATTGTGCAATTATGTTTTATGATTCACTTAAATTTGGTATGCTTGTCAGTGCAGTTGTTAAATTTAGAACTAATATCTTTTATGTACATGAAGTGGCCAAGACAACTTTTCCAGAAAAGAAAGTACCTCTTCCAGTTTCACAAAAAACAAAGCCCACTGCAGGACCCCCAGAACAAAAGCCTCAAGAGGTAAAACCTCAAGAACCAGAACCTGCTAGAGTGGCCCGGAAACAAAAGCCTGTTGTGGAACCCCAAAAAACAGAGTATGTTGTGGCATCTGAGGAGCCTAAGACTGTTTTGGCACCTCAAGCAACAGAATATGTTGTGGCATTCCAAAAAGCAGAGCGTCTTGTGATGCTTGAGAAAGAAGAGTTTATTGTGGTACCTGAAGAACCCAAGCATGATGTGGCATACCAAAAAACAAAGCATGGCATGATGCCCCCAGAAGAAAAGCCTCTTGTGGAACCCCAAAAAACATTCATGGCCCCTGAGGAACCTGAGCTCATTGTGGCACCTAAGGAGTCAGACACAGTTGCATTAACCCAAAAATCAGAGCATTTTGTGGTGCCCCCCCAAAGAAAATCTTTTGTGCCATGCCAAAAAACAGAGCTTGTTGTAGCAACTGAAGCAACAGAGTTTGTTGCAGATTTCCAAAAATCAGTGCATATTGAAGAGTCCAGAAAATCGAAGCATGTTGTGGCAGCTGGCAAGCCAGAACCTGTCATGGTGCCTGAGGAACCAGAACCAGTTTTAGCACCCCAAAAGCTAAAGCCTTCTACAGCACTTCAAAAACCAAAGCCTGAAGTGGCATCTAAAGAACCAAAGCCTCTTCTGGCACCTGAGGAACCACCACCAGCCAAGTTGACCGAAAAGCAAGAGAGTGTTGCTCTACCTAAAATACGAGCAGCTGCACAGCCTAAAGGTACCTCTTATGAATAGGATCTCTTTTCCTTCTCTTGAGTATATTATGTTTCACTGTTAGTTTTAAAGCTTAATACAAACAACTAAAAGTTACTAATATCTTTAAAGAGTATGCAATGCCAGAAAAGGCTGTCCCAGAAGAGAAAATTCCTGTAGCTGTTCCTGAAAAGTCAGAACCTCCATCAGTCAGAGGTACATGTTAGCACAAATATATGATAAACACACCTAATCTTCTTCTCTCATTATCTTAACTTGTGCTCTGTCTGTCACTTCAAATCTAGGGTTTTAAATTATGCCTGCTAAACAAATTGCACAGAGTATGAGTGTGTACCAAGTTCTTACTTGAGAACACGTCTATTGTCCTGTGTGTTTCAGTCTTTGTACTTACGTTCAGTTGTATTGTACTTGTAAAATTAAATGCACTAATATCTTTGAAGTGCATGAGATGCCTGAAATGGGTGTCCCAGAGGAGAAAGAGCACATTGTTTTACCTAAAAATGCAGGAGCTTCACCTACTAAAGACACATAGCACCATGATTAACATCATAATGAAGGTTGGTTGGTTGGTTTTAATTAATCTCATTTTAAATTGTCCTTTCACCATATAATCTGATATCTAAAATGTGAGAGAGATGTACCAGAAAATAATTGCTGTGCAGGGGTGTTAAATGTTTCCTCAACTAAAAGCATCCAAACATTCATTATACTGCTTTTTTTTTTTTTTTTTTCCCTGGCACATTCAAAAAGCTCAGGGCATACGATTTGATTTCTTAGACCATAGCAATAAATCAAGCAGGTATGATGAACTCTTGTTAACAATCAATGCCAAAACATTTTGGACACTAAACAAGAGAATGGATGCATAAACTGTTGTTCACATTATTAGTAGGGATGGTTTAAGACATAGTTCACTGGGACTTGGCAGGTTTGTGGTTGAACATGATGATTTAAAAGATCTTACCCAACCTAAATGATTCTGTTTCTATGTCTCTGTTTCAGCAGAGGACCAGTTTCTGTGAATAGAGCAAAATAATTGCAAACATCTTCATGTACGGGTCACGGGTAGCATCATGAAGCAGAATCTTTTATTTAAATGGTTAATTATAATTTGCCTGTATTTTGGTCATATGTCAACATTCTCCATTCTGTGATTTGCACAGTTTTCACATAGAATGAGTAGCTCCAAAGACCTGTGAAGTTCCTGTGAACAACATTCACTGAACTATATAAGGGGCATTGCTTTTCTCAGATTAATCAGGATAAATGACTTTAGAATTCAAATACTAAATATTAGGTAAGATACTTTAAAGCTGTAGACACCATAGGTTGATACAGTGCTGCATCATTAAATTTTCTTTAGAAAGTCCCAAGAACTTACCAGAGAAGTAAACATGCCCTCTGCCATCAATTTGAAATACAACATTCCCCAAATGAAATACCACCTCACAGTGATGAAATTTAAAGCATATAAAAAAGTTTCAATTAATATAAGAGGAAATAGTTATAAGCAGCATCTAGTGATGAGAATGCAAGTCACAACTGTAACAGGAAAGAACGTGCAAAGCAAAAAACAGAGCAAACATACAAAGATAGGAAAAAGAAAGGTGAAGACAACTTGAGAAGTAAAAATAATGATACTATCCAAGTGACAAATAAAAGGATGACAGTGAAGGCCAAAAACTAACACAGACGACACAGTCATGAATGATATATGATTGATACTCAAATACACTCGAATTCCACATAGTCCTTGAGCCGTTAGAAAGAAGGCATGTGTTTTCTATGTTTCT